TGTTTTTATTAAAAAATATATGAATTTATTTTTGAGATATTTTTCTAATAAAAATAAATATTACATGCGTTTTTATATAAAATAAAATTAAGTAGATTTTGAAATACTAGAGATGGAGATTTAATGAGTAAATCATTTAATACTAGCAAAACCACAAGTTTTGATTTTAATTTTGAAAATTTTTTTGACTTTTATATTTTCATATTTTGAGGGTTACTTTAATAATTTTTTGAAATTTAGATTTATTTGAAGAAAATTTTAATTTAAACTATTGAAAAAAAAAAGTAAATCTGCAATATGAAGAGAGAGTATGTAAAGGAGGAGAGAGAAGATGAATGGAAGAAAAGGAAGTAGATGAGGATTCTTTAGTAATTTTGCTGTTTAAATTGACCACATCACCTACCCAATGCCATATCAGCACCAAGCCATTTCTTGGTAACGAAGTAACAAGATGTGGACGGAAAGATGACATCTGATGAGGTCATCTTCAGTAGAAGGGCTGATTTGCGGGTTTTGTCAAGTGGAGGGGCTGATTTGCTCTACTTTTAGGTAGAGGGGCTGATGTGCCACAACAATGGACGTAGAGGGGCTGAATTGCACCTTCTGCCTTTTATCTTTGGTTAAACTCCAAGTTAGTCTCCTAACTATTATACAGGTCTCTAAGTTAATTTTTCAACTAAAAACAAATTTGATTTGATCTCTAAAATTTTGTAATTTAGTTCTAAATTAGTCTTTCCATTAAAAATCCAGAAAATATGTTTTGTTGCTTTGATGAAAGAAGGATGACATGTCAAAAATATTTGAACACGTAAGATTTACAGCATAGAAAAAGAATGACGTGGTAAAATAACATTTGACATGTAATTCCCAGCCAATCCTAAAAGAAATAGCTGGACCCACAACCTAAAGCAAAACACGATCTCTCCCCTTTTATTCTCATTTGAACGGTTAAATTTAATAAATAATATATTAGTTATGTGATTTATTTTATTTTAGTTTAATCTGAAAATAATTTTTTTTTTTAAAATGATTTATAAACTATCAATTTGATTTCAAAATGGTCTACTTGACAAACATTCTGTTAACTGACAAACGGAATTCTTTTTAGTGGCTGACAAGCTGCCCCTCAAACTTTTAAAAAATGTTAAATGTAGTATATATATTTTTATTTTTTACAACATTTTGTTTTTGAAGTTCAAATTTTTTTTGTCAAATATAATAATTAACTAAGATAAAATTTCAATTTATATTCACTAAGATTTTAATT